AAAATGCCTTGAACTGCCCACTAAAGAGACATGGGCTGGCTGAATAGATAAATATAAACAAGTCAGGTATCTACTGTCTTCAGGAAACACATCCAACCCACAAGGATGCCTTCAGACTCAAGGTGAAGGGATGGAAAACAATATTCCATGCAAATGGAAGGCAAAAGAGAGCTGGCATAGTAGTTCTGATTTCAGATAACTTAGTCTTCAAATCAACAAAAGTAATGAAAGACAAAGATGGACACTATATAAGCCATTCTAAATGTTTATGCACCTAACTCAGGTGCACCCAGGTTCATTAAGCAAATCCTACTTGATCTAAACAAAATGATAAATAGCAGCACCATAATATCTTGGGACTTCAACACTCCTCTGACAGAATAGGACAGATCCTCCAAAGAGAAAATAAAGAAACAGTGGACTTAAATACAACTCTAGAACAAATGGGACTGACTGACAGTTACAGCACATTCTACCCCCAAACCAGTGAATATATGCTTTTCTCATCAGCTTATGGTACATTCTCTAGGATTGACCATATCCTAGGCCACAAAGCATGTCTGAAAAAATTTTAAAAAATAGAAATTATACCATGCATCTTCTCAGACCAAAGCAAAATAAAATTAGAAATCAACTCCAACAGAATCTCTCATCTCTACACAAAGTCATGGAAACTAAACAACCTTCTGATGAATGATTATTGGGTTAAGGAGGAAATTAAGATGGAAACCAAAAGACTTTTTCAACTAAATGATAAAGAAGATACAAGCTATCAAAATCTTTGGGACACAGATAAAGCTAAAGCTGAGAGCAAAATTTATATCCATAAATGCCTACATCCAAAACACAGATCACAAATCAAAAATCTAATGAATTGTCTCAAAGAACTGGGAAAGGATGAGCAAATGAACCCCATACCCAGTAGAAGAAAAGAAATAACAAAGATGAGAGCAAAACTAAATGAAATCAATAACAAAAAAACTATATGAAAGAATAATAAAACAAAAACTTGGTTCTTTGAAAATATAAATCAAATTCGCATGCCTCTTGCTAGATTAACCAGAAGCAGAAAAGAAAGGACACTAATAAGCCCAATCAGGAATGAAAAAGGAGAAATTACAACTGATACCATGGAAATACAAAATATCTATGAATACTATAAAAAACCTCTGTGAATTGATAAACAAACTCAGCAAAGTCTCAGGTTCAATGTACAGAAATCAGTACCATTCCTATACACCAACAATAGTGGTGTATGTAGCACAATGGTGATGTAGCACCCCTTGTATTATCCTGGATAGAGCTGGAACCCATTCTACTAAGTAAAATATCACAAGAATGGAAAAACAAGCATCACATCTACTCACCATCAAATTGGCATTAACTGATCAACACTTATGTACATGTATAGTAATAACATTCATTGGGTGTCGGGCAGGTGGGGAGGAGGGGATGTGCATATTCACTCACACCTGATGGGTGTGGTGCACACCTTCTGGGGGCTGGACATGCTTGAAGCTCTGATTCAGGCAGGGCAAAGAGAGAGAACCAAATCAAAGCCTCAATACCCTTCACAATAGCAACAAAGAAAATAAAATATCTAGAAATATATTTAACTAAGAAGGTGAAAGACCTCACAGGGAGAACTATGAAACCCTGAGGAAGGAAATAACACAGGATGTGAACAGGTGGAAAACCATACCATGCTCATGGGTCGGTAGAATCAACATTGTTAAAATGTCTATACTACCCAAAGTGATTCTACAGATTCACTGCAGTCCTTATTAAAATAACATCATTTTTCACAGATCTGGAAAAAAATAGTTCTATGCTTCATATGGAACCAGAGAAGACCCCATATAGGAAAAGCAATCTTAAGCAAAAAAGAACAAATAGGGAGGCATTAAATTTACCAGACTTTAAGCTATACTAGAAGGGTATAGTAACTAACACAGCACAGTACTGGCACAAGAACAGAGACATACACCAGTGGAACAGAACTAAGAAGCTAGATATAAAGCCATCCTCATGTAGCCATAGAATCTCTGACAAAGCAGACAAAAACATACAGTGGGGAAAAGAATCCTTAATCAATAAATGGTGCTGGGAAATTTTGATAGCCAAATATAGAAGACTGAAACAGGATTCACACCTCTCACCTCTAACAAAAATCACCTCACGGTACATAACAGACTTAAACCTAAGGCATGAAACTATAAAAATTCTAGAAGAAAATGTTGGAAAATCTTATAGTCATTGGCCTAGGGAAAGAATTTATGAAGACCCCAAAGGCAATCATGACAACTACAAAGAAAATAAATGGACTTGATCAAATTAAAAAGCTTCTGCACAGCCAAAGAAACTATCATGAGAGCAAACAGACAACCTACAGAATGGGAGAAAAATTTGCATGGTACACATTCAATAAAGGGCTGATTACTAGAATCTATATAGAACTCAGAAAATCAGCAAAAAAAATCAAACAAACCCCATTAAAAAGTGGGCAAAGGACATGAGCAGAAACTTTTAAAAGAGAGACAGATTAATGCCAAAAAATACATGAAAAAATGCTCAACATCTCTAATCATCAGGGAAATGCAAATCAAAACCACAATGAGATAGCACTTAACTCCAATGAGAATGGTTTTTATCAAAAAGACCCAAAACTATAAATGTTAGCATGGATGTCGAGTGATAGGAACACTCATATACTGCTGGTGGGACTGCAAACTAGTACAACCTCTGTGGAAAGTAATATGGAGATACCTCAAAGAGTTACAAGTAGAACATCATTGATCCAGCAATCCCACTATTGCCATCTACTCAAAGGAAAAAGACATCTGCATTCGGAAGTCTATCTATAGCAGCACAATTCACAATTGCAAAAATGTGAAACAACGCAAGTGCCCATCAATACATGAGCTGATTAATAAAATGTGGTATATGTATATGTTCTACTCAGCCACATAAAACAATGGTGATGTAGCACCTCTTATATTATCCTGGGTAGAGCCGGAACCCATTCTACTAAGTAAAATATCACAAAAATAGAAAAACAAGTATCACATGTACTCACCATCAAATTGGCATTAACTGATCAACACTTATGTACATGTATAGTAATAACATTCATTGGGTGTCGGGCAGGTGGGGAGGAGGGGATGTGTATATCCACACCTAATGGGTGCAGTGCACACCTTCTGGGGGCTGGACATGCTTGAAGCTCTGATTCAGGCAGGGCAAAGGCAATATATGTAACCTAAACATTGGTACCCCTGTAATATGCTGAAGAAAAAAAAAATAACTTTAGAAGTCTGAAGTCAGTGGGTTGAAATATTCAAAGTCTTAGATGAAAAAAAAGTCCTTCAACTATGAACATTATATCCAACAAACTGTGCTTCAAAAGTAAGGGAGAAATTAAGACATTGCCGGATAACCAAAAGCTGAGACCAGCAGCCCTGCTCTGCAATGAAGACAGTCCTTCCACTTGAAAAGAAACAACACCAGACAGGAACTCAAAGTGTTGTGAACAAATAAAGACCCCTAGTAGAGGTAAATACATGGACCATTATAAAAGCTAGTACTATTTTTGTATGTGATTTAAGAGACTAATGTATCAAGAAATCCTATTATTAGTTGATGTTTTTGGTCACACGATGTAACAACATGTAAACTGGTGCTGCCAAACCTGAAAGAGCAATTAGGCAAGAGAAAGAAATAAAAGGCAGTCAAATTGAAAAGGAAGTCGTAAAGTTATCAGTTTGCAAAGGACACGATCCCATATGTACAAAACACTTAAGATTCCACAAAAGAACTGTCAGAACTAAAGAAAATTTAGGAAAATATGAGGCATATGGAATCCCAGAAGACCCCAAATAAACAAAACAATCCTGACAACAAACTTGGAGGTCTTTACATTTCCTGTTGTCAAAGCTCATTATAAGCTCCAGTAATCAAAACAGGGTGGCCCTGGCATGGACAGACTTACAGAGCAATGGAGTAGAACACCCAGCCCAGAAATAGCCCTGCTCGTGGATTTCACATGCTTTCTGACAAGGGTGCCAGGACCATCCAATGTGGACAGGACAGTCTCTTCAGCAAATTGTGCTGGGACAACTGAACGCTCACATGCAAGAGAATAAAATGGGACCCTGATATAACACCATGCACAAAAATTAACTCACAGCAAATTAAAGATCTACATATTAAGAGCTAAAGCTACAAAACTCCTGGAAGAGTTTTGTAGGAGAAACATAGGAGGAAAGCTTCAGACAATGGGTTTGGCATTGACTTTTTGGATATAACACCAAAAGCACAGGCTATACTAGCACAGCTAGGGTACCTGGAAAAAGAAGAACAAAAAAAGCACAGGCTACAAATTAAAAGCAGGCAAACTGTACTACATCAAAATCTAAAAGTTTTATGTATCAAATGACACAACAGAGCCAAAGGCAAGCTATGGAATGAGAGTAAATACCTGCAAATCATATATCTGATAAGGGGCTTACATCTATAATATGTAGAGAACCCCTACATATTGACAACAATAAAAAACAAATTACTCAATTAAATAATGGGCAAAGGACTTGAATAGATATTTCTCCAAAGGTGATATACAAATGGCCACATGCCCATGCAAACATGCTCAGCATCACTAGTCATCAGAGTAACACAAACCAAAAGGATGGCTACTATCCAAACAACACAAGAAAACAGTAAATGTCTGAGGCCATCATAGTGGCTCACACCTGTAAACCCAGCACTGTGGGAGGCCAGGCAGGAGGATCTCTTGAGGTGAGGAGTTAAAGACCAGCCTGAGCAAAAATGAGATCCCATCTCTACTGCAAATATAACAAAAATTAACTAGACAATTAAAAATAGAAAGCAACAACAACAACAAAAAATTAGCTAGGCAAGGTGGCATGTGCCAATAGTCCCAGCTACTTAGGAGGCTGAGGCAGGAAGATTGCTTGAACCCAAGAATTTGAGGTTGCTAGGCTGCCGTCAGGGCATTCTAGCCCAGGCATTCACAGTAATACTCTCAAAAACAAAACAAAAACAAAAAACAATAAATGTCGGTGAAGATGTGGACAAATTGGAACTTTCATGCACTGGTGGAGACAATGTACAATGGTGTCACTGCTGTTGAAAATAGTGTGGTGGTTCTTCAAAAAATTAAACAGAATCACTGGGTCCAGCAACCCCACCTGTGGGCATATACCCAAAGGTATCAAAAGCGCCATCTCAAAGAGGTATTTTTGTCCACTCACGTTCACAGCAGTGTTATTCACAGTAGCCGAAAGGTGGAAGCAACCCAAGTGTTCACCAGTGTCGATGGATGAACCAAACATGGTCGATACACACAGTGGACTGTTATTCAGCCTGAGAAAAGAAGGGGACTCTGACACATGCTACCACATGGACCAACCTGGGGACATTGTGCTGAGTGAATACATCCATCACAAAAGGTAAATGCTGTCAAATTCCACTGATATGAGGTACCAGAATAGTCAAACTCATGGAGACAGGAAGTAGAAGGGTGGTTGCGGGGTGACGGGAAGTGGGGAGTTGTGGCTTATTGGGTAGAGTTTCAGTTTAGGAGACGAGTTGCGCAGACACATGGTGGTGATGCTCGCGCACAGTGTGAGTGTCCTTCACGCCACTGAGCTGTTCATGTGAAAGTGCAAAGCTGGGAGGTTTTCTGTTATGTGTATTTTATCATAATCAAAATAAATAAGGTTTTAATACTTTAAAACATTGGTGGAAAATAAAGGTAAGGATGTAGGGCAACTGTTAGTAGCAGTTTCAGTTCATGGAAGCACTTTGAGAAAGCTATTCGGCAGTAACCGCTCTTCCATGCGGGCCCCATGGCCTGGGAGTCTCACTTTTAGGGACTCACCCAACAGAAATGCCTAAGCCTGTCCCCACAAAGGAAGGTGCACAGATGTTCTTAGCAGCCCTGTGGATCAGAGCCCCAAACTAGAAGGAACCGAAGTGTGCAGAGCAGCGTCTATTGCTCTGCATTCACACAACGGCATAATGTATAGAAATGTGGGCAACGGATGTGCCGTGTGCAACAAAGGAGGAATCTCAGGAACAATATTGAGCTGAGGAAGCCAATACAGAAGAGTTTATGCTCAGTGGTTCCCTTGATAGAAACTGCAGCATCAAGCAACATTGAGCTGTGCTGGCAGAACTCAGGGTAGTGGTTTCCTTGGCCAGGGGCTAGACATCGGATGGGTCTCCAGGAGACTCTGGGGTGCCGATTGTCTGTTTCTTCGTGTGGGTACTGGATACAGGATGTGTTCCATATGTGGGAAAAAATTATTCTAAATTGTATATCCATGTGGATTATTCTAAAATTTAAAATTTTAATTTAAAAACATCAGATTGCATATCAAGCCCAGGATGAAAGAGAGACCCTCGGCCTGTCGTGCCTTCCCCAGCAAAAGTGAGTTCACGGTGACCATGTGGTCCTCTTTGTGGAAATGCTGCCAGCAGGCTCTAAGCAGTGCAGCAGTAGCAGGGTGACATCTGAGGCCCAGGGCTCCACCACGCTCCTGGTGAGCTACACACACGGCCACAGCCACCTGCGTGCCAGGATCACCATCGCTGCCTACCTGCCCCTCGAGGTGAGCCAGGGGCCCTGCCCTTCACCGCCCTCCATGCCCACTCTCTCCCTGATGGGAATTACTCACTTGCTCTGACAAATCTGTGTGAAAACCCAATTGTTCAGAATAGCTTTTGGCATAACTCCATCCCCCTGTGATTTTTCTGGCTGAAAGCGGGAATTGATGTAGAAGGAGCAGAGCCTCCCCACGGGGGACAGTGGTTGCTGACATCAGGTGACATCCACCCTGCCTCTCCCTCCTGCAGACAGAGCTGCTCCTCAGAGAAGGCTCCGGATACTTCTTCCTCAACACGAGCACCACAGACGTCGTCAGGGTGGCATCCCAGGAGGCCAGGAGAGTCACCGTGATGAGTTTGCTTTAGTTCCTCATCCGGGACACCGTGTGATTGGTTAGTAGATTGACTATTTGAAGAGCTGGCACTTAGTCACACCAGCTAGAATTAGCAGGGCCTTTAGATTGTCTGCTTCACTCAGCAACTTTAGTCATCGCCGTGCGGCCCCTGTGGGTTTTACTCCACATCCACACACTACTCGCGCTATTAGTTACCTAATGGTTTCCTTTCAATCCATCTTTTAATTAAGACTAAAACATTATTTCATAAGCAGCACTATAACAACTATAAAGAAAATCATTTTTAGAGGATGCATCAGCTTTTTCTATTAAGATTTTCCCCACGATTCTTTCTTCGTCCTCTCCCTATCCTTGCAAGTACTGACTTAGCCATGCCCATTAGGGAGGTGGGGGGATTTAGCATTCTGCCTTTTCAATCAAGTTATCCCAAGATTTTATATTTCTCCCTGTTGTGATATAGGCTAGGCGATTATTTTATGCAGTCATATGTACCTTAGCCATTCTCTTTCTGTGGAACATGTGGATTGTTTAAAGCATTTTGTTTTTTAAAAATATAGCCGGGCGTGGTGGCTCACGCCTGTAATCCTAGCACTTTGGGAGGCCGAGGCGGGCGGATTGCTCAAGGTCAGGAGTTCGAAATATAGATATATATTATATAATAGGCAAGCATAGCAAATAAAAAGAGCAAAAAACAAACCAAACGCCGAGTTTGTCATACATATTGCAACATCGTGCATGAATGCAGTTACTGGGACCAGCATGAAAATTGAACTAACACAGAATCTTATAAAAGAAGCTCTTACCACTGAACTGGTGTAGTAAACCACATCCTATAAGTCATAAATGCCAAGGCTCCAGTCACTGACCCCACCCATCGTCCATTCACTGCAAAATTAGAGATGGGGACCAGCTGAAGGACAACCTGGGAGAAAGATTCTATGCTGTAAAAGAAAAGTGCACAGAAGTGCTGGATGAATTTTATATTGTTATATTTGAGATTCACAAGGCCGTAGGACAGAGAGACAGAGTCACCGAGGCTGTAATTATCAAAAGGAGTTTTATTGTCTAGCTCAAGCTAGGGTCCAAGCCCCCAGAGTGCCAGCACAGTGGCCTCTTCTCCGGGCAGGGACCCTCCTTTATGTGTTAGTCCCCCTTTTTATAACTCAGTTTGTTTACACACTGGTCATGCATCCGCCTCCACAGTGATTCTTACTTCATCCTGCCCCTGATAGGCTCTAACCTGTTTTAGGTCCTAGCTGAGAGACTCCGGTTTCCGCGTTCTTTGTCTTTTTCCTCTGCACCCATAATGTACTCCGCCTTGCGTACAAACAAGCAGTAAACCCACGAAAGCTGGAAGGTGTCCATCTGTCCTTATAGCCCAGTCATCTACAAATCATCAAAAGACCACATTAACCACAATCCAGACAAAATATTGAACATTTCACCAGTCCCTAGAAGATTCTCACCATGCTTCCTCGCTAAGCCACACAACCCCCCAACCAAAACGTAATGAATCGATTGACTCCACCCTCAGTGGATTTGTTGTGCCTGTTCCTAAACTCTGTCAGCGCACAGTATATACACATGTACTCTGTATCT